ATCACGTTACTTTACTTCTCATCATATTAAGCTGAACTAAACAAAAACATATACTTGTTCTACAAATAAATTTTCACTTTATCAATGTTCGTAAGCATCTGAACAGACGTCAAAGTATTCAAAGAATTTAGATCTAAATGAAACAACTAAAGTAGATGTTTAAAACAATTAGTCGCTTCGATAAATTTCGATAATGCGATGAGAAAACGGAGTTTATCAGAATTATGTGATAGATTTGAGCAATACATTTCGAACAATCTGATCACACGTATACTTCTTATGACATTCTTATATGAAAATTAAAAGGTCAACTAGAAAAGTTAAAGGTAAGCCATAACAAAGAAGAATAAAGTACACAAAAAGTCAGTATTATCATGATAGGTTAAGGGTAAGAACAAATTGTTTTCAACACATAAAGTGGGTTTCGATTTCCATATAGCTAAGCCTTCAATAAACTTGAGCATACATTTTTGAAGGCTTTCGTATTACACTACAAATGCTGGCTTAATATCAACCTTATGACCAGTCTCAACTAAATGTTTCTCAGTGGAGAAAGATTTCTGTCTATCATATGATCTTATTTGGCCGTTGGAATCTATTTGTTTCTGCATCCATTTGGGTATGTGTTCCGTCACACTTAATGGCAGAGAACGATTGCTCCTCCCTATGTACGTGTTTCCACACATACATGTAAATTAATAGACACAATGGGATATGATACAATCTGTTACATGGTGTTTGAGTTTTTGGTGAAACATAGACCTTGTATTTTCAATAATGACAAGTCGGGCTGAATAAGCTGTCCAGTTGGCTGCTAGTTTAAGTCTCCGTTTCAACATGAGACTATTTGAGTCGCCTTTAAGTGGTAAAGTAATATAAACTCGCTTAACAAGTATATGTGTGGTTAGATTGTTCGAAATGTATTGCGCAAATATGTCACATAATTCTAATAAACTTCGTCTTCTCATTACATTATCGAAACTAAAGTAGATCTAGTGGAATCAAGAGGTAACAATAAGATGTTGATTAACGCAAAACATTTAACCATTTATACTGAGTTAAGCATTAATTACTTTAAACTTGAAATATTTCATCTAAATTGTTCTCATAGACTATCTGAGATAAATGAAATTAAACACTTTATGAGATATCTACCATGTATAATCAAAGTAACTTTTTAAACAATCTTTTTGGTTTATGACATACTAATAGATTATCTGTAAAAGATAGTTAATACCTTCCAGTTGAATAAAATTTCTGAACTCTTATATATTTTATAGAAATCTTTAACATATATATGCTCATTTTTTTGGTATTTTGGAGTAGATTCCATTATTTTTCAGTTAACTAACTGTAAATATACGATGAAAATTGTAAATTGAACAATTGAACTAATATTTGGTTAGTTTTACTGAATATCTGTGTGAATGATCATAAAAAGGTAAACTTTTTTATCTTAATTCAAAATCACAATAAATATAGTCATCCCACTTACATAATCATTCTATTAGCCCAACAAAAGCAGCGTTAAAGGATCGAGATTTCGATTAATCAAATGTTGGTATAATTCATGACCGTATGTTCTCACTGAATAATAGTCGTTTAAATCTATATTTAGTAAGAGCATTTAATTAGTTTTCTTTTATATATGTAGAGAGAATATTTATTTACTTTTTTAAAGATTGGCTAATTATAAAAGCATCAGTTAACGGAAGGATTTCGTTTAAATGAATTCATCTTCAAAGCTGTAGGATTACGTAGAAATATGAAATTATGAGACTGTCGAAAATCATAGAGTACTGAATAGATATTTTGTCCTAGTTTTTTTGTTCTACATTTCATTCTACATTTTTCAAGACCTTTTTGTTTCACAGTGATGTGATATCAGTTCATGAAGCAAACTATCTTTACGTAGAGATGATCTCAACTGAATAAATGTATTAGGTGACAGTTTTACTTAAAGGTTGATATCAAACAGAACTGTTGAAAACCTTTTCATCTAAGTTTTAAACTACTCAATATTTAGCAAGCACAACCCTCCTCCAGAGATTAAACTTATGACCTTCGGATATTGTGACCAGAGCTTTGGCTCTGGACCACTGAACTGGCATGAAAAGACCAACATTTCCCACTCCGGTCGACTTACAATAAAGCAAGGCAATCAATAAATACCGTTGGTGAGTAGTTGTACGATAACTCAGGTAGCTGAACCTTATCAGTCACTAATAATACAGTCTCAAAAATCTCTATAGGAGGAAGGAAAGATTGAACCATAAAATGGATTCGAGGTTACGTACTAATCAAGGGGTAAGGAAGAAAATAGTTTATGAGTCAGCTGATAGTCCAGTTGACAGATATGAAGAAAAATGACAAGAAAAGGTCATGATAATAAACTGAATTATAATCAAGAAAACTTGCATAAGGTAATGATGATTTCTATAGACAAAAAGAAGTTGCAATGGGCCCTCCATTGGATTCTCTCTTGGCTGATTGTTTCATGGCCAATCTAGAAAACCCGGTACTTCGACCAATACTTGAGAGATTTCATTTATGAAAGAAATATATGGATGATACTTTCATTATCTGTGATGGAGACATGGACCTTAATGAAATTTTGAATAGTTTTAATAATTGTCACCCGTCAATTCAATTTACCTCTGAAGCAGAGGCAAACAATGAAAATAGACATACCTTTTCCAGATAACTATATATACAAATGTACAGCTGAAGTAAATGATTTCGTCGAAAAGAAAATTTTGTTCACTGAATTCTCTTTTTCTTATTCAGTGACACTATGGGTTATTTTAATTATCAAAAATCTCTCCTGTATTTAGTTGCTGGTTAACATTCGATTAGTGTTTGACTGGATGTTTTGAGAAGATTAGTTTGAAGATAGTTATTAACTTGATAGAAGCGTTTTAATAATTACATAATTATCAGTATGGAGATTTGTGAAGGTTGCAATATTTTCACAGTTGAATTCACGAGTCCATGTAAGGTAGGCCACCATTGAAAGCTTAGAAGTACTGGATGGCCATTTCGTCTCAGTATGAAACTCCTCAGTTGTTCCAATCCGTGATACCTCACACGCGACTCGAATCCAGGACCTTCGGTCTCGCGCGTGAACACCCAATTTTTATACCACCAAGTCGACATCCAATGGTGTTAATGTCTAACTTTAATGTAGTGTTGCACAAAATCATGAGTCGATTGAACGTATTCATCCTAAAAGAGAAATCAAAAATTAAACAGCATCTATAATTGCCACGGATTATTAATGCAAAATATTATAATTGTAAGAATAAATGGGAACGTATATGTAAATATTCCATGACAAGCAAAATATGATCAAGTTAAAGAGACAAGTCTAACAACCTATATTTTATACAGACCACTCTAATTTTAAATCGTAAATGACTTAGTCTTTTACAGTATTGAATAGGGTAAAACTGAAACATGTGGAAATACTTGACTACACGAATGTAACGACCTGAAATTATCAAAACGATTACTTACTTACTTACGCCTGTTACTCCCAATAAAGCATAGGCCGCTGACCAACATTCTACAACCTACTCTGTTCTGAGTATTCCTTTCTAGATTTATCCAATTGTTGTTTATTCTCCTCACGTCTGTTTCCATTTCTTGGCGTAATGTGTTATTTGGTCTTCCTCTTTTCCTTTGGCCTTGAAGATTTCATGTCAGGGCTTGCCTTGTGACGTAGTTAGGTTATTTCCTCAATGTGTGTCCTATCCACTTCCAGCGCTTCTTCCTGATTACTTCCACCACTGGGATCTGGTTTGAGATAAACAAAAATTATCTACCAGAAATTACACTGTATTTATTCACTCAAACATATTATGAATTTATGGGACTATCATTGTTATTTTTATTAGAGAATTAAGCCTCAAATCCGCGTAACTCGTTTTTTAAAAAAGAGAATTATTTAATACAAAAATTAATTAAATACATTTTAACTAATCAATCATGATCATAATACCGAAGAAAAAAACTGGAATTTTTTTCAAAACTTAAATTGCCAAATACTTTTCAACTATTTTATTGTACCATGTTAACTAAATAATTGGCAAGTCATTTATAGTATCTAATAAATCAACAATGAATCGTTTCATTAGTAGTTATGTTTTTATTTTAACAAATTTTTAAACTGCAATGTAAGCGGATTTTCTCAATTATTGATTATATAAGAAGTCATTTGTATCTAAATCTACAAATAAAACAAAACAGATTAGACTTTGAACGACATATTTGGTGGTACATAATCTAATTGTTATGTATCACGTTTTCATCAAAATATTGTTGTTAAGAAAAGATACTTTAGATACATTTTTATTGATAAAATATTGTGATTATCTTTAGAAGCGTAGTTATATATTGAGAATAATTTGAAATATATACATATATACTAACATTTTTTTAATCTAATCAATTACATGCAATAATTTATCTGCCAACTTAGCTGCCTCGATTACTTACTCGTCAACTTTTGTTGTATGTATCATGGGTATAAGCTAACAAACTTAACACAAATACAATAAACATATTGCTTATTTTAAATGATAAAAGTGTAGACGATTACATATCGACGAAATTCTTATCTAATCAGATATTGCATGTGTAAATGAATTAATTTACACGTATATATATATATATATATATATATGCATATAAACGATTCGATTAATTTAACTAGTCGATTTAAGAATTGTTTTCATTTTAGTAAATTATATTAACTCGCTTTCGTCGTCGAGGTTGTTCAAGAGAAGAAAGCCAAGTTAAATTACAAAGAAGAATAGACAAAGAGAATAGTTATCATTTTTTCTCTCCCTAATATAATCATAAAAATTAATTATGTCAACCGAGACGAGATTGAGTTCAATGGAAGAGTTTATTAGAGCATTTTTAGAAATGGATGCAGATAACAATGAAATGATTGATAAACAAGAATTAATTAAATACTGTCAAAAAATCGTTTGGATATGAAATTGATCGATGTAAGTATTCTCTTCCACATGTTTCTTAAGATTCTATGTTGTTTTATATTTTAATGTTATTCGTTGTTGAAATAACAAGATAGCTTTGTAGTTCAATATCAGTACTTTATCAATGTTATATTCTTTGAGTTAAATGGTTAAATTGTGAAAAGTTCATTATCTTTTTCCAAATCAAAATCACTAATAAAAAGTATAAGATAAAGTGAACAGTTAGCTGAATAATAATAACCATTATTATTAATAAACATATGTTCATCAGTGATTAATTTTGTGGGGTGATTTCTGAAGTTCCGATGAAAAGCCTTGACCAGTAAAGTTTATCCATGTCAAGTGTGAGATAGTTACATACCAATGGCGTTGAAAAGCAGTTGATCTATACTACAAATTATTTTGATGTTAGAGATGTATGCCGGCTTAGTTAACTTAAAGTTGGGCACTATCCACAAGGCTTGAAGGTACTGGTTGCGATCTCCAGTGGAGAGGTCATGGGTGAGAAATGTGTACGAGCCCTATACTAGGGTAAATAGCTGCTCAATACTTTTTGATTTTCATTGGTTTTTAACTATGATATGTCCATTATGTAAATTAGTAGGCTCAGTGATCGCTTGTAGGAAATATGGAAACAATCAGAGGCTGACAAGGAATTTTGGTATGATTATTGATCATGTCAGAGAAAAACATAACCTAAATAAACGTTCTCAAATCGCAACATACAATCACATCCTCTTAACAACATGACAAGCTTTTAGCCAACAGTATACAAATTCCAACAGTTCAACTCTTTTCAATGTTTTCATTGATTTTATTATCTGGACAGTTAATAAAATCATTGAAAATCAATCATCAACCAGCTGAAAGTACACAATACCATAAATATCATTACTATTGCCTCCATAAATACTAGAAGTATTCATTACTGTCCATATTCTACTTGACTTAAGTATTTTAAAAAATAATTTTCGTAGATTCGCATTATAGATTAAAATAGTTTCCATTTGAAATCATCATGTATTTGGTTCACTTTCACCCACTCACGATCCAATCGTTCTATAACTAGAAAGTTATATACTTAGGGTAAATCTTTCAACATTATTCATTTTCTGATGCTAAATCAATGAGTTAGTAGGTATTTATATCAAAATTGAACTTAACAGTCTGAAATAAGTTGAGCATTACTTCAAAAGTCAGTAGCCTCGCGCGTGAACACATAGTCAGCATCCAACGGTGTTAATATCTAACTTCAACCAATCACGGCCGTCCAGTTCTTCCAGATTTTCCATGGTGGCCTAACATCAATCGGTTGATGACCTCAATCAAAAGATTATTTTTGTATTATTATTATGGAAATATAGTGTTCATGAGGAAATTGTCATAAATATCATTTACGATATTATTGATTACCTAGTGAAGACAAGAAAAAGTAAGAATCGATCGATCCATAAACAATTTCTATAAGTCAAATATGATTAAGGTGTTAAATACAAATTAGAGAATAATATTATTCACCTATATATAACTGAAGCTCTATAGATTTCCATTGAAAATAAATCAAAAACTTACTGTAATTTCATACAAATTACACTGTATAGTGGTATTTATTAATGCAATAACAGTACTCATATTTTTAGTAATTTTTCATTATGAACAATAAGCCAATTATAATTCCATTCGATTTAATAACAGTTGAAGATGATTGTTTTGAAGAATCTGTTGAGACAATTAATGACCTGGAATCAAAATGCGTATTCAACCCATTTATTTCATTGAGTAGAAAACGTCATTTATTACAGTTAATGTTCGTTAATTTAATTAACAATGTCTCTAATTTGAATTTTATTCACATTTTTCTGTGAATTTCATATCAACAATGATGTTCATTAGTCTAGATTAGATATATTAGAAGAAATATCTGGTTGGGAACTACATACTGATTTATTATCAATGCAATTTTTGTCTAATTTTTAATGATAGTCAAATTCTACTGTGATCACAAATCTTTGTGATTTTAAGCTCTTAAATAATGATGTAAACCAAATCTCTAAATCAATGTTTCACGTTAGTTGACACAACCACTACTACATTTCTACAATATTGGAGAAATCATCAGTTCCCCAAAGATTACAGATACAGCTTCATTCCAAACAATAGAGTATGATTTCATAAGTGGAATACCATCATTTACAGTAAAACGTACTTTAATATAAATTAGTAGTACATACTCTATTAGATTTACTACAAACAATCAGAATAGAAAATTAAAAAATAAATGTATATTAGAGAATAACCCAGAAAGATACCTTTTCTCAAACAAATTAAATTATACTTTTGGTGACAAATATAAATGACTATTAAACTATTTATAATATTCTTCTTTATCTATGATATCTAATTAGGAGTATGTTTATTTTTTACTTTCACTTTCATTTACCTATTTTGAAATTTTTCTTAGCCATGGATAGCGAGGTTTGATACTGATAAAGATAATAAAATTAGTATAGAAGAGTTCTGCCGTGGATTCGGTTTAAAAGTATCAGAAATGTAAGCATTAAAATTATTTAATTATTTTGTAAAACAAAAAACAAATTCAAATCAACAGCAGTGATAAAATGTAGTAATTTCAATAAATTTCTGATATAATAATTATTGAACAATGATAATTGAAGATGGAAAGGATGTTTTACTTTCTGAATAAATAATTATGATATTATTATATGAGACAATAATCATAACTGATAGTCATGTTTTAATGTCGTTAACTAATGAGTCAAAATAGCCACTAGCTTGTGTAATTACGTAAAGTTCAATTCATTTGTATTGGTTATTTGAATCTTTTCACTGACGTTTAGGAATGTAATTGATCAGTCAATTTTTGTTTTATGTGTATCCTGTTCGAATCATCTCGTTATTGCAAGTAATTCATAACCATTCTAAGCGTAAATGGACGGTGGTCAGCGACGGAAACGAATGATACTAGGTTGGAGTCCTGGAGTAAAGATTGACTCTGCAATGCAGGTATATCCAGATGACGAGTCCTATATAACATAAAATGTGCATTCTGGATTTCATTGCTGACCACAATCCATCTGCTCCTCGAATTCCTGTGATCTACTGGCAATATCGTGGCAATCCGCGCAGGATGCATATATCCCAAAAGAGACTGATGGATTCCGGTCCTAAACATCAATGGGAAGATCCAGACAACAAATACAAACAAACTTTATTTTAAAAGTTTGAAAATAAAATACTAACATATAGGCAGTGTTTACTGATATCATTGTGCCATCGAAAAACGATATATTTATTACGTATTTACTTAATAGCAAGTTATTACTTTATAAAGATGAACTAAGGAATAAATAACTTTAGTCGCTTTAGAATTTAAAGGTCAAAGTAGCCACATTTTGTGCACATTCGAACATAAGGCATGATTTTTGAAAAAATATGCGTGAATTTGGTTCTCTGTCTGCTGAACAAATTTTAACTTACTTTTTGTTTTGAGTTATATTCTATTCCGTTCATCCGACGATTTTCTTTCACATTGTATACAATATCCTATCTATTAAGTCTGCTTATTCAATTCTTGATTCTACACTGTCTGATGAAAAATGAGTCAATAGTGTTTAAGAGATTGATCATTATGAAGATATCTCGGACTAGCGCGTCTATGGGGTTGAATGAGGTCAAAAGGATAATTGTCATAAAAGTATTGTGGAACTTTTTGTAAGTCTCATCAGCTAACAACTTCTGACGTTGAATATTGTAAACTTGGGATCGATAATCTTATATGAATAATCAATTTGTTGTGTTCTGAGCATAATCTTACTTCTTGTGAATAAATTTGCAAATATGCTATACTGATGAATTTTCACCTATAGGCTACTTTACATTACGAAATAATCAATCGTTAACGTCACGCTGTTTTTCTAAATACTTTTGTAATTCCTGTCCTGTTAATACAACCAGAACAACGATTTTCTGAGAATATTGCTCTTCCTCTATGTAAGTTTATAATGAAAACGAACCATTTGAGACCCATAATCTAAACTGATTAAGAACAATCCACGTCATCTATTGTTACAATCAGAGAAGTTAACACTGAACTTTACCGATAAAATTTCACAGAGATTTGAATTAATTCGCTGAAATGGTGAATTGTAATTACATCAAAAGATTTAGCATATAAAATTTGTTGGTGATTATTCAAAAAAGAAATCTACTGTTTACTTTTTTCTACTTTAGTCGACGTGAAAAAGAAGAATTAAAAAAAGAAAAAGATGGCAAGGTTTCTAAACTTCCACCAAATGTTGAAATTATTGCAGCAACCATGTCAAAAACAAAACAATATGATATATGTTATCAATTTAAAGAATATATCGATAATAGTAGTCGAACAAATAATGATATAAAAGAGGTGGCAAATAAAATGAAAACATTATTGGATAATACTTATGGTCGTGTATGGCAAGTGGTTATATTAACTGGTTCATATTGGATGAATTTTTCCCATGAACCATTTTTATCAATACAATTCAAGTATAATAATTATGTCTGTTTAGCATGGAGAACACCATCTCAGTAATAACTATATTAATAAAAATACAACTGACTATGGATTCATAAAACAATATCATAACAGTATGTAGATGGACATTTTAAAACTTTAAGAGAAATGAGAGATTTTCAAATAATTTTGAATTTGTTAAACATTTCATAGCCATTAATTTGTTTTCGCTAATTTAAACATACACTACTCTGTAATAACAAAAAACATTCATCAGTAAATGGGTTCAATTATTTTTTTTTCAGTTTCGCAATGAATAAAATTTAAGATTTTTTGAAAGAAAGATGAAGAATGTATGGATTTTAAGTGTTGAATATCTTGGTCACGTTGTTTTATTCAACTTGATAGGGTTAATCTATTAAAATATTTATAAGATTAAAGACGTTTAGGATATTACTTACTTACTTATGCCTGTTACTCTCAGTGGAGCGAAAGCTGCCAACCAGCATTCTCCAACCCATTTTGTCCTGGGCTTTGCTTTTTAGCTCTATCCAATTGTTGTTCATTCTTCTCATATCTGTCTCCATTTCTCAGTGTAATGTGTTCTTTGGAATTGAGCGCGGAGCCCCTCTGGGGTTCATGTTGATTCTAAGCCCGGATAAAGGAGGAGAGTTGGGCACGGAGTTAGCGACCCCATCCTGTAAAAAACGAACTCGACAAAAAAACGCTAAAAGCGTTTAGGATATAATATTAGTTATTTGTCGTGAGTGATTAATCCTTAAAGTGAGCAGAAGTAAAACATTTACGGCTTTTTTGATGAATAAATCAACGGTTAACTTAAATTTTTATAACTAACCGACAAACTGTTTATAAGGAAAACTAACTTAATACCATAATTTCACCAAAGACAATTGTGAAGATAATTTTCGCCACGAAGTGGGACTTAATAAGGGAATACTGAAATCTAGGTAGCAATAGATAATTATTTCATCTCAATACGTAATTTACTAATTGATATCCATTCATGACTTTACTAAGGATTAAATCCAACACTATCATATAATTTCATGCAATTGGTTCCCTATCATATAAATCAGCGAACACGTATTTAGATCACTGAACCAGAACCCGATGACCTGTATCTCTCAATTTCGTCAATTCTAATGAAATAATAGAACTATCATCCAGCAGTGGATAACTGAATAGTCTCTGACATGATTGGACTCTCCTAATCATCATTTCTCAATAAAACGTCTTGAGTCTATTACTAAACTAATTATAGGTTTGAATTCAGCTAAGTAACATGATAATATTCACAGTTTGAGCAATACTTAAATAGCTTGTTCAAGTTATTTCATGAAAATGATAGTTACCTTAAAGAAAAGTAACAAATCACGTGAAAAGATATACTATTCGGAACTTACAAAATGGTAGGAAATGGACATTTTTTAACCTATCGCTATTTATTTTATTATAAGTTATTTAAAACTGTTTTATGAAGTTACATATTCTGTAGTATTTATTTTAGGGAAATAATACTGTATATATTTGTACGGTTGAGTTTTCTGCAAAAATGAAACAGTCAGTCGGGTTATCCGGTCGACCGAGTCTCATAATATACTAAGTTTTCAAATTCTAATTGTATATTTGAATATAAACAGTATTAGGAACTACCCTTTGAATATAAATGTATTTGACTTGTCATCAAAAGCTAATTTCGTGTATATAAACATGAACTTCTAAAGTTTCTCTGACAAATTTAATCAAACAAAATAGCAAACTGGAAAAAAATTGACGGCCTGCTTGAATATCTGGGCTACCTGTTCCTCTGATCTAGATATGTCTTCAAGTTATCTGTTTTGTTGTTTGTTTTAGCACATCATTATGTTCATTGTGCTCACAATCTATTCAGGCGCGTTTATGAAAAGTTTACAACCTTTCGCTATATTGGATACAAAAAGGTACAATCAGCGACATTATGGTGGCTGGCAATATGCATTGAAACGAATGAACATTAATCAAATGTGGATTACCAAACTCCTAACATCTAACTGGTCATCATTCAAAATTTATCGTCACAATCGATCAAGATATAAGAATAGGAAACTTGTTGAAATACTTTATGCTGAGAATTCTATGTTGTACCAAAAGTATAATGTTGAATAAAGCTTCTAATAATAAGTAATAAATAAGTAATAAATTCAAACATCAAAACTATGGATTAAAAGTATTTTGTTAATATCTCATTTAAATCCAATTACCAATAATTTATACGGTGACCATATTGAGTTTAGTTCTGACAAACTTTTACATTCACATACTGGTCACATATTTGTTTTTCTCCTTAAACATTCGAATTTGAGAGGTGGAGATACAACCAAAACAAGGAAATAAACAATGACACATTTAACGTCAACAAGAACCAATCAACATCAAGGTCTACAGGACAAGCTTTGAACCAAATGTGGAGAAATTCGAACACTTCAATTCTATATGAAGTTTGTGCTGATGATATCGTTCAGAAGAACGATAAAAGCTCCAAAACCAAACCATACAGCTTAGAGAACAAAACTCTGTCAAAAACATCCGAATTTATTTTTCATACTTTATACGGTAAATGGAAAGGAAAGAAGAAATTACTAAAAAGATTAATTAAGAAAACGACAATCCTAAATTAGTATATAGGGAACAATTTTGATTTTCACTGTATTTATTGTCATTATAATGATCAACTAGTTTAATTGCTTGTTAGTTCTATGATTAAAATTGAATCAAAAAATAGAAAAAGAAAATTTAGATTCGTTCGGTTTATTATCACTAAGCAAATTAGGGGCGTGAATTTTAAATTCTATAAAAGAAAATCTTCAACTTTTATAGTGTAGAATCTTTGAAAAATACGTTTATTTTATTAAACATTCAATATGCCGAATGTTTATTTGAATAAATAATCATACTAAATACCAAAGGTTTTTTTAATTGACGTTTTGTTTGTCAAACTCTTCATATTCTTTGTGCTTTGTTATCACTTCGAAAAATTATGTATCAATCAGATGTATAGTTAAATTAAGTTCCAAATAAAAAAAATATTTTTGTTCGTTGATAAAAAGTTGATTTATTTTGAAGTACTGCAAAGAAGTAACTAATCATCTTGACACCTTAAAGTAAATCTTAATTTTATTGCCTGTAAGATTGACATCCCGGGAGTTTTTTAAGTCATTTCAAATATTGAAGAGTCTCTGAATATAAGTGTAAATATAAACAAATTACTATATTTGTATTATCAGAAGGGTTGTTTTTTGGATATTATAGTATTTTTAATAGTTAAGATCATGAATCCATTAAACTTAGACCACCATGGAAAACCTGGAAGTATTGGATGGCCGTTTCGTCCTATTGTGGAAAGCAGTGACCAATTGAGTTCAGCCGGGTCTGTTGTGGGGTAGTAAACCACTGAAGACAATGATGGATGTTTTGCTCGATTTCGTGGAATAGTTGAAGTTAGACATTCACACCGTTGGATGCCAGCCCAATAGTCTGGAGGTTAAGCATTCACGCGCGAGACCGATAGATCTGGATCAGAAATCTCGCGAGGTGGGATCGTGGATGCGCACTGCTGAGGAGTCCCATACTAGAACAAAATCGCCTTCCAGTGCATTCAGGTTTTCCATGGCGGTTTAGTTTTAATTGACTCATGATCTCAACTAATAAAATATTTGTAATATTCTCTGAAGAAGTGGCTTACACTGAGTCACAAAATGTCAGAAAATTTTTTTTCTACTCATTAAGATATTACAAATATATTAATTTATTAATAACAATCTAACCAATGCTCAATGTATTCGAAATTATCAGGTCAAGCCTTGGTAATGATACCTATGAGTATAAATGTTTGAAAATCGCAGATATTTTTATGAGTATGACTTATATGATATTATTATTTATTAGTTATTGATAATACGAATCATTAACGGGTAGAAAACTATTTGAACTTTTTAGTCTATAAAATTATTTGGAAATATCACTTTCAACTCGCAAGGTTATCTATGGTGGTCTATCTTTAATTGACTCATGAACCCAACTATTAGATTACATATATAAGACTATGAAAAATTTGACAACTTACTTAAAATAATGAACATTTCTATAATGTATCTTAAAATATCTGTATATATCAGCTGAACATATAAAGATCCTTTGATTCATTATTAATTGAACGTTAAACAAACATTCAAAGAATTTACAAACTGTAATAAAATATATAAATTACAAGATAACAAATAATACCATATTCTAGAAAAGAATTAACGTGACAAGATTTTGTAAGGAAGTTTGACAAATTCATCATTTGCTTTATAAATCAACAACAATTAAGATATGTGAAAATATGATAGGAATAAGGACTTCAGTAAATGGATAGCTTATCAAAGAATTTATTATCAACGTGTACGATTGTATACATATGTTTACATATATACATAAAAACTTTCAGGTATTAATTCTGTGAGAACATGTTAATAATGTACTGATATAATGAGATCACGGAAAGATTGTAATAAAAGATTCTATAGAGTAAGTAGTTAAAATAACATGTTGTGTTCGTGCAAATAAGAAGGTGTATAAAATTATTAAACTCACATTGGAACATAATTTGATTGCAGTAAAATAATTAAAATGTTTTCGTCACATGAATTATAGGTATTAGAAGGATTCAATGAAATACAATAATATGAGAAACATACACCAGTAAAATGATGTGAATGTGAGAGATACGTGGAGAGAGACAGATATTTTCAAATGCAAAATCAGTGCGATGAAATGAAAGTAAAATAGTATTAACAGTAATAATACTGATACTACCGCTTCTGCTACTAATACAATAACAATAATAATAATGATAGTTTAAGACATGGTATAGGCAATGACAAGATATGCTTCTTTGTTCAGTTAAGATTTCATTTTGAAGATGGGAGTAACTTCCACTGTTTTAATGAATTGCATGCAAAGAAATGTTATTTGGTCTGAACGAATTCTGTAAACTACATTAAGATCAAATTATGTATTGATGGAGGGTGTAGCGTCGATTAACTGTCGCAGGACAGAACTGCCAACCATCTCCCTGTCATCTTAATAGCATCACACTGAAATATGTTCTGATATTAGAGTTGAAATTATGATATCAGTACGGTCATTGTGCATTGTTCCATAAGAGTAGGTGTATACATTTACAAGTGTATAGTTTGTTAAAAAATTCAGTGGAAAGTGATGGGTTCATTGACTTACCTGTTTCTCTCTCTCAAATATATATATTACAAATCGTCTAGCAAATAGGTCGATGCAGAAGCGTGTTAAGTAAATAAATCCATTTACAATTTTAATACCGGTCTTATTCACTAACATAAATTTGATAACATCAAGGAATTCTCAGAATGACCAAATACGGTGTAGCTTCAGACATCTCTCTTTTATTTATTCTAGCTACGGAAATTTAAAGCAATCTATAAATTCACATTAGATATGATTTTTAAACCCTAATCAGTAGAAATTTAAGGCAAGTTTCAATTAGACGTTCTTTTTTTTTAATTATCATATAGCATATTTGATACATGAATTCTAGTTTAATCACCTCTCATTTCTTATAAAGATAATAAATGAAAATAACTCAACTTTGATGGAAGTTTCGGTTACATTTTGAACTATTTGATTATATAATGGATTGCAAGAATTTTTTTCTTTCTTCAAATTGTAAGATCACACTAGACTGTTAGAATACATAATAAATAATAAGACAGTAAATTTTATTTCAATATTCATTCTACTAAAATTATGCAAATTATTAAAGGGATTATTATGTATACACAAAATAAGATATTCATTATTACAAACAACAGATATACGAGGATAGTATTGTTTTTAATTAAGTCCTTGTTAGAATTTATCCTAATATACAATAATATTAATAAGTATACATAAAAATATCAATCTAATCAAAGTAATTTATCAGTTAATGATAACAATAAAATGGATCACATGAATGAACAGAACATATAAATGGTACTAATTGACAATGTATTAACAAATATAATAAGAATAATAAACTTTTGAATCAATATTTCATAATAAAATGTAAATTGACAAATTTGAAAAAAATACACAATAAAATAATATTTTATGGGTTTTGTGGATATGATAGTAATTTCAATGGTTAAGCTCATGAGTCAATTGAAGCTAGACCACCATGGAAAACCTGGAAGCACTGAATGGCCATCTCGTCCTATTGTGAGACTCCTCAGCGGTGTGCATGCACAATCTCGCCCCCTGTGAGATTCGAACCCAGGACCTACTGATTTCGCGCGCGAGCAGTTAACCATTAGACCACTAAGCTGGCCGGCATCCAACGGTGTTAATGTCTTGCTTCAACTAATCCACGAAATTGAGTGACACATCCACCACAATAGAACGAAATGGCCGCCCAATGCTTCCAGATTTTCCATGGTGGTCTAGCTTCAATTGACTCATGATCTTAACCATTGAAAATAGTATTTACTAAGAAATTCTAAATTTTAAAAAAATGAAAAAATTTTTTAAAAAATTTTAAAATATTTTTGAATGTTTTTAAAGCTTCAATTCTTATTGGTTTTAAAAAATAAATAAACTCATTGAATGTAATATAAATGTAATTGAACGTAATAATTCTAAACAATGATGTGTTATATCACATATCATTTCATATTCTATATATGTTTCACATACATGTTGACATATATCACATAGTGTAACTAAAATTTCTGGTAAACACCAAATAATTAATAATAATGTTAAATAATTTTGTAATGGTTTCATTTGATTTTGATCTTTTGTAATCAGTTTAATTTTATAATGATGTAATATTATTAATATAATGATAATAGTTATCACTATAAATGGTATAATATCACCAAGTATCAATGAAATATAATTGAAAATAATTAATTCTAATCGATCACTACTATTGATTAACATTTTTGAAATAATTATACATTGACCAGTTTGATCTAATTTAACTAAAAGAATTAAATATAAATTAGAAATTATATTATATACTACTAATAAACAATAAATACCACCTAATAATTTGGGATAATTTAATAAATTTAAATTTGGTATATAAATCGATAAATAATGTTCAATAATCATTGTAATAATTGTTTGTCTAGTAAATGTATTAAACAAATTATTTAAAAATTCACTTGTCCATATATGACAACCTAATATATTGATCCACATTTCTGATGTAATTAAAAAAAATGGACAAAATTTATTACTAATTTGTGAAATACAAACAAATGTATCAAATGTTATTTGTATCATAATTAAAATATTTACAAATTGTGATGATGATAATAAATAAGTTTGAAATAATAAAAATAATATAAATTGATTAATCAATATTATATAAAATGAAAATATAATAATAATTATATCAATTTTTGTAGGAATATCAGTAATATTTTGATAATGATAAATAAATCCACTTTGATAATCACACATTGATTAGAATGTGAAATAATAATATTTTTTTAAAAATTAATCAATTGATTAATTGATTAATTAATTAATTGATTGTTTTCTCTCAATTTAAAATTGGTGTAAAGAATTATTTTGTTAGTTTTTCTTGTTTTTTTTTTAAAAAAAAGGAGAGGAAAATGATGTAAATACTTATTAAAGTATAGAATGAATTTTGATTTAGTTTCTATTTTATTTGTCATTCAATACTTCTTTTTGGTTGGTTGTTATTTATTGAAGGTTTCCATTGATTGGTGGAATAATAATAGTAATAATAACGATAATAATAGGTGAAGCGTTCGCGAGCGAGATCGTGTCTGCGCACTGCTGAGGAGTCTCACAATAGGACGAAACGGCCATTCAGTGCTTCCAGGTTTCTAACGGTGATCTAACATCAATCGGTTCATGATCTCAAACAATCATTTAATGGATTGTTTTAATTTCTTAATTGGAATGAATGTTATTGTAAAAAATTCTAGCTTTTGGTTTATATTGATACCATTAAAAAGTATTATAGATATGAGGTCCAAGTATATTTATAGAAGATTTTGTTATGATCTGGGATCATTCAGAAATCAACTGAAAATTAGAGAGTAAATGATACAGTAAATAAACAGTGTCGAAGGTTAATTATCTTGGAGTTACCTTTTCCTCTAATCTCTCTTTTTTACTGTTATCGAAGAAAATTTCCTGTCTGACTTACTATATAAAGAGGTTGCGTGCTTTTAGGATTATTCGACACACTCTTATAATTTGTCAATTCCTGTATATTACCTATTATTCTTTACTGTTTTCCATTATTCTTTTCCGGGCTTTTGAGAAAAAAGTTTTTGCTGTATTGCGGAGAGTGCTGAAGGCAGTTAGCAAGGTGTGTGGTGAATCTTTCGAAGTCATAATTAATATGGTTGTAGACAGACATCTAAAGTCATGCAAACTCCTGGCAGGTGTTATTTTATCAGATACTAACCATCCTATTCACTCATATATTTCTCCTTGTATATCTTTTGATAGAACGAGGCGTAATTACACTGACATTTTTGCACGCATACAAAAGTATTAAACTTCTATAATATCTTACCTAGCAAATATACTTTTTGACAAATAGGTTGATAGAGTCAACCTAGTTAATAACCTGTTGTTATAATCTCCTTCTTACAGTTATGACCCAGCTATTCCTATTGCTTAGTATTCTCGGACACCGATTCACTCGACAAGTCCCAGATCAGAACACGGTTGAACAGGAAAGAGATTATATTCCAAATAACAAAGTTACATGGAAGTAAGAAGCAAGTAAGGAAGCACAATACGGAAAACTTTAGTACATTTATAGTTTTTACATGAGAAGATTCTTGAGTATTCTCCAAGTATCGACTAGTGCTGACTGGATATTCCACCAAAATATAATATTGAATAAAGCCATTATTAATGATAATAACAATAATAATAATAAATGTTTTGTTGTAGTTTGAGAATATATGATGGGACGCATTGATGACCTCGACAGAGGTCAAATCTAGGGTTTTCATGTCTTACAAAAAGGACATTAGCTTCATGTCACTGTTTCAGAATTCACTGATTTTCCTTTCTTATATATGTCAGTATAATATTACGCGATAATGATATTTCTTTCCATTCACTAAATTCACTTTACAGTTCAGAATTTTAGATTTTGATTTATGTCATTCATTACAGGATAAATTTTGAACACTGTCTTCAAACGTTTTCACAAGCTTGTTTAATTAATGAGAAAATATCACGAGTTTTCCTTTTTAATGCAAATGTAACTGAATTAAAAATATTAAAAGTTGACAATTTCGATGCAACATTTTTTATCTCATTCCTAGTGTTGGGATTTGTCGATCAAAGTATATTGTGATAGGTAGTGTAAATAACTCAAGATCATAGTGAACTTTACTGAACATTCGGTAGCTTATCGGAATCGAATGTATTCCGTTGGCTTCAGTTTCTCTCCTAAAATTACTTTGTTTTTTAAGCCCTATTGTCTTAGTATTAACTCTTATAAAGTTGACCGATTTGAATTCTTGGCGATTTCCTTCAAAATTTTAGGATTTGTTCTGCGATAGGTTCCAGTTTGACAAAAGGGTTAATCTCTTTCTATTTGAATAAATTTCAATTCGAAGTGGTAGCAATTAGCTATTAGTTTTTATCAATCATTTGGTAACCCTATCGGCCTTTTTAAACAGTTATATATCACCACTTTTAAAAAATACTCTTTATACAACAGTATAATTGGTTTGACTGGACCTTTTTTGAGCTCAAATCGGTAACAGAATATTCTTAAATATATTGGGTATGACAGTTAAGCCAAATACTAAAAATTTGACTATGTTGTAATAATATAGGCTAATGATAAAAGAGATGATGATTAACAAGATATTTCATGTAAATTACACGGAGAAACGGGGATATAATAATAGTGGACACGACGAACACGTATCATAAGATCATGAAATGCAAATGTATATAGTTTGTTAAACTTCAATGTTTTCATACAAGATCTTTTAGTAGATACCTGATTTTAAGATAACTTTAAGGGATAATAGAAAAACCTTATTACGATATGGTATTTGAACAAATTAGTGATTTCTTTGCATTTGATTTTCAGGCAGATTATGGATTCTAAGTATAATACGTTCATTTGTATTCATCTTGTTCTACTTGCCGTAAATCGCACTACTGTGGGAATTCGAATATTTCTAATTATCATACATGCTCTGATGAAACGAACACTTTACGGACTGAATTTGTCTTAGGGTATGCAGAAAGCCTCAATGCGCATGATGAACAATTAATATTCAGAAATTGTCTTACGGTGGTTTTCTGTCCCAGTATATGTATAGTAAACGGTTTCTTTCACAGTGATCGCTTATAACTAGTGCCATGTCTATCAATCGTCTACTCGACTAAGTAATATTTGTAAGACTATTATTTGAAGATGATTAATCTCATTTAATTATTCAAATACAAATACTAAATTTAGTAAATGGGATAAAGTATGGCGTAGTCGTAGTGCAGGTGTAGCCTTTCATTCAGTTGGACTAACTGAATTGCAGAACATTTCAAATAGTTTTCTAATTTTTTTAGTAGTGTTATTTCAGGCACCATTGATCATTCAGCTAAACTATCGATTAATAAACATTTATGCTTCGTTGCTTATTAATTGAATTGTTGTAAACTTTCTATTTTGAGCAGTAAAGTGTGAGCAGTCTAGTTGTTCCCTTCCCAGTCTCATTAATTTTATAGAATGAAATGCAAATATATGAACGAAGAATATTCTTTTCAAAAATTTCTCATCGGGTTCTGCGATCGTAAATGCAAATTAATAATCCATAAAGTTGGCCAGATTTAAGGCACAGTACATCATTTAAAATTGCAATATGCGAACCAAGAATTGTTGTTTGTCATACAAAATCAAATCTTCAATGTCAGGGCTGACTAATATGATATGTTAACTTGAATCATTTTATAAGTGAAATGAAATTATGAGATAAATGATCAGAATGAATATGGTCAACATGGGGTGAGTGAGAGAGAATAATGGAATAAAAATCAGAATTTGACAATCTTGGTATCTGGCTGCTTCAAGATATCCTGAACACAAACAAGGAAGATGATAATCATTCAAAGAAGCAATATGTTCAAGCAGACGTAGAGAGTTGAACGTGAAACTATTACTATTATAAATAATTCAACCACAGAAACTTGTTTCGCAATGTTTGTTTCAAACCAAGATTTTGTTAATGATTTTAGGGGTTTGGTTAATTAATCTGTCGAATAATATTCTTAGAGTGAATAAGGTGATTGAAGTGACAATTTGTTTAAGAGGTCGATATTTATGTATGTAAATAAATATATTAAAAGTGACTATAACTGTTTGACTGACTAAGTAAATATAGATGGAAGATTAAAACAGCCACTTATCGAAACAATATTTTAAAAAAACAATAGCTAGTCAAACTGATATGGAAATGAAACGAGTATCTTAAAATCACCAACTATCTTTAATTTCTGTCCTTTAGAATACTTACTTAATAGACATTACATTCTTGTATCTTTCTGTATATTAATTTCTGAATATATGTTATAAAATGGGAAACATGATAGGAGCTGATGAATTGCAGAACAACATATTACATTTAACCAAAGCGAAATAACTACTGGTACTATTCATCAAAAAAATAATGGGTGCTGCGTTGCAGGTTGTATACAAGTTGTTAGGTGTGACTATGCTATAAATATTATTTTCTATAAGTAATGTAAACCAAGCATCGGATCAATATTGATAAAAATTACAACTTCATAAAGAAATTTTTTTAGCCGTTTTAACTACCCCTTTTCTTAACCACACTGGGAGGTGCTCACAAGCTCGAATATAAAAATCACTAAAACATTTGTTAATAAAACTTCCTCCACAGGATAGATACGGAAAGAGGTGTCTAGTCTAGGCAATTTATCTTTCAACCTCGAAGTGATTATTGGGCGTGTGGAGAACATTAGTTGTAGTTAACCTGCATTAAAAGTCCTTTGAATTGATCTGTTTAACTTAAGTCTAAGCATTTCACTCGGTGCATCGAACTCAATTGTAAGTGTATATACAGAGGCATTTTATTTGGGGTTCGGCATTCTCTATGCTCTCTTTTATGAGCTATGTTTTTATTTATAAATTTCTCTGGATATCCATTTTCTTTCACGGTCGTGTATAATTTCTTTGTTTCCCCTTCAACAGTATCTAGAAGGCATATGGTCTTGATTCTATGATGCAGTGCCTTAATAAGGTTCCTTTTGTCTTGCAGAGGAACAAAACTAGGAAAGTTTGTATATCGGCGGTGTTCATAGTTGACCTCAACTCGACACCACGCTACGATTGGTGACCCAGGTTCTGGAACACGCCTCAACTTCTGGTCAAATCTTCCAAAGAAGCCAATTCGGTGAGTCTATGATTCATCTATCCACGTCTGTCGCAT